TGAGCTCAAAATTGTGCATTTTCAGAAACCCTCGAAATTAATTTTTACACATTTTAATTAATTTCAATTAATGTCACGCATTTTTCATTACTATTTTAGAGTGTTAAATGCACTGTAAGTGCCGTTTTTGTTGTTTTTCCGAAACTTACACAAATGTATTTTTTAAATATGTCTTCACGTCAGTAGAATTTACATTCCGTTCATTTGTTTTACATTACCGAATTTATGAGTAAAATTCCTTTACATATTTTCTTATGAAGTTTCTAAAATATCTTAGGTTTTGAGTAAAAAATTAGTTTTGAAATTCGCATTTTGAGAAGCACTGAAACAACATTTTCTCAACAAAAAAAACAACAACTCCAAACTTTGTAACAAAGATTTGATGATTGAACCTGGGTTTACTAGTCTATAATATTTTTAAAGTCGTATTGCAATCCTCCCGTTAAGAGGATCGAAGACTTGAGAAAATGAGAACTAATGTCCTTTCGGCGCCAATAGATAGCAGATAGGAAGAGAGAAACCGAAAAATTCCAATCCAAGATAGTCAAACTAAAGAGATAAGGAAATTAGTAGTAGAAAACGTGGCCTTCGACTGACTCTGTGCCCTTCTGCAGCATGACTAGTTTCCATAAGACTTTGTTCGTATTCAGAATTAATTGTCAGGCCGCTGCATACCATGATAATAATTTATAACAAAAAAATTCTTTAGTAAATTTAATAGATTGAAAGATAGTAGTACACACCAAGCACTCGATAATCTTTAATTGCTCTTGTACGCAAGCGATGTTTTCCACACTTGAACGATTCCACGAAAATGTGTTGGAACGTCGCAACGGCCAGTTATACTAACACTCTTCTTCACACACTTTTCTGACGAAAATACATCGTTTTATTTCAAAAAATGTTATTAAATTACAAAACAAGAAATCTGATGAAAAATATATTTTATATTTCACTCCTATGTTTTGATGTTGTAACACAACAATGCATATTTACCTATTTCTACTACAATTTTATATACCTGTAATTCACGATTATACGTAATGGTATGTGTGGTGTGATAATTCTTCACTAAATTCAAATTGAAAAAATTGGTAAAACAATCAAAGGCAGTAAGTACATCAGCTTAAAATTCGTAAAAATGTTGTTGGAATACCTACTACCAAGTTCTTGAGAGACGTTGGAAAAACTACTGAAGTCATAGCAGTTCTTCAAAGATTCAAAAAGCGAAGCATACTGTCCTCTTCTAGGGCAAACAATTCACATTATTAGAGGGACACATAAGTCGTGCATGTTAGTCTCGGCACAGACGTATCAAAAGTCTTTCTGAGCGGCAGAAATAACAACACAACTTGATTTTTTTACTGTGAGTAGCATTAAAGGAATGAACGATTTAGTCTTGCGGTGTTATTTCATTAGATGTAGCATGTCTTATAGTCTCTTTTGAAAAATACTTTCTTCAAGACTCTGATATTAGTAGAGGATAGCCGTGTGTGTGAAATGCACTGTGTGTGTTGTTAGCATATTTTACTCCGTAGACTATTGCAACAGATTAATTTCTCGTCTTTATGAAAGTTCTGTGGTACTTAAATGTATTATGGGCTACAATAAAAATATAATAATTAATCAATAGTAATTAATAGAACTTGAAAGTTCGGCAAAATGCCTTCTTTATTATTGTTAGGAGTTTATGACTTTAACAATAGGAATCTCTTATTTGTACTTCTAGAGTTGTTTTAGTATATTTAAATTTGCCTATTTTAAATGCCTATTTTGGGCATTTTTTCACTTAATTATGCCTTATTTGGGCTTTTGTCTGGTTTATTTGGGCCTTTCTGTCTTTATCGACATTGTGTTCCCTTTCCCCCTTCTGGCACCCATCTGTATCAAGCTGTAGATATACCCGCAAGCGTCGACCACGTGAAGGCACGGTCGTGTATTATTTTTCTGTGGACGCGGCAGCTAGCGTCAGGTTGTGTTAAAAATTTATAACGCAAAGGAACATGATAGCAGTGATGAGTTTTGATATTTTTTGTTGATGCTGACAGACGTGTTTGCTTTCGAGAAATCTCATCCTATGTGTGTATGTGTTCCACAACAATATTTCGCGGTGACATTTCGCGTGTCGAGTAAAAATAAATTCGTAGTCATCATACCGGATGGTCATGTTCAATCAAGATTAGAAAGAAAAGGAAGTTTGCTTGTATGTGAGTGCTAATGTAAATGTTACAGTTAGAGTAAAAATGCGAATAATTTTAATTATTAATTTATTTACAATAATTACTTTTCAATGGTGATTTTTCAACGTTTCCTGTGTTTTTGGCTCCTTCTTTAGGCAGAATAAGCGCTTTTTTGCACGCCTATTTTAGTGAAACTAAATGTCTTGCGGCGGTGGCGTTGCGGTTGCCCGCGTGCGCCCAGCCCTCGCTGCGGCCGCACGCGAACACAGCCAAGTTGCGCTGCTCTCCCACGCAATCTGCAGCAGATCGGAGGCAGGTACTGTTGTTTGACAACTTCAAGTGTAAGAAAAGACAGAAGTCCAGGCTGTAGAATGGATAAGCAAACACCCCCCAGCCGTCCTGCTGTGAGACGGCCAACCGTACGACCATCACGTGTTGTATCTGCTGCAATAAAGATTTTCCTTACAATTGTGTTTTGTTTTGGGGACGTAGGAAACTTACTTTTTGAACGCGCCTCGTACTTTGAGTTATTGATTGATTAATGATTCCGGCATATCAGCTCCTAAGGTAATTAGTCCCGTAAGTGTAGGGCATGCTTTTATCGGGAGGTGGCGGGTGGTGAGATCCGGCGCCTACCCACAATCCGGAGTTTTGTTGTTCTTCCCACTCCCCCCCCCCCCAGCGGGGCCCCGCCCCAGCCGGGACAAGCGTTAAGCTCCCGACAAGTGTAATAGTGCAGTGCGTGTGCGTGTAAGTAAGGCGTGAGGATAGCACAAGGAAGAGGAAGGAAAGATCGCGTACGGTCCGTGGCCCTTTTGTTAGGGTACTGTTCCGGCATTCGCCTGGTGTTGATCAGAGACACCACGGATCAGAGCAGTCTGCGGCTGAATTCGACCTAGCGATGCAGCTAGTGTCTGCCACGTCGGGACTCAAACCCTAGAACCGTGTGGTCAGAGGGACTGCAGTGGCATCAGCTGATGCCCTGCGCTATCTCTGCGGGAAGGAAGTTGATGGGGATCGCGGAAACGGGCGTAGAAACCTGTCAGACCGTTCTCGCGCCGAGGTTCCTTTTTTGTGGCGATGTTCATTGGAGCATTTCGGACGGCAATGAGCCACGTGCGCGGAACGGAATCAATTCCGGAAAACGTTGCCTCTCGAGAGGATAATTTGAAATGGCAGGCACGACTTGTATTCTGCCGACTTATGGCTGATCTTTGCAACGAGCACTTGCGATGTCTGAAGTAAGTTAGTCCGCCTCGGCGAAGCAAAGGCCGGGAGCGCCTCAGCGGAGTTGCTCTCTCGCACGCGCCCCCTCGCCGTGTCGCTGCGCCTTTGGGCTGCGCGTCGTTGGCCGATGACGGGTGGGCAAACAGTCGGACCGTTGCTTATGGTCGCAAGCTCTGGAAAGTTCTATTGCCGATGGTTCGTTCGTTAGCCAACAGCAATCTCCGTTCCGGTGACCTATTTTTTGGAGGTGTTTCATGGGGTGAAATTGCGTCAACGATGGGAGGGTCGGAGAAGCGTCGGTTGCCTCTGTGATCGAGTTATGACGCGTCCTGAGGGATTAGGCAGCTCGGAGCCATTGAGCTCTCGTAATTAGGAGCTTGAAGGCGCCGAAGGTGTCAGTCGTGGGGGATGCCTCCTTTTGGCTTTGAGGAGCGGCGCCTGCGGGAGCCCGTGTGTTGATGGCCTCCTGGGCGTCGGGAAGCGCTGCGCGTGGGGCAGGCGTCGCGGCGAGCGCGCAGCGCAATACATCGCAATGTTGTGTTTGCTTATTTTAATTTTGGATGTTAAGATCAATGTTACTATTTATTGCAATTTTATTTACTCTTCTTTCGAGGTCCGCAGTGGGTGGGGAGATGAAGTACTAATGACGTGGAATAATTTGTTTCGTTAGGATTAGTGCTACCTGCCATTTGTAGTTCACTGTGTCTTACCTATGAAAGATGAAACCTGTAATTGAAAAGTTGATTGGGATATTGAGGCGAGTATCTGTTTAGTAAACGCCGTCTACTGATTTTTGGTGGACGACACGCATTAGTTATTTTTTGGTGATGCATTTAAAAAGCAACCATTTGTTGTGAAAGCACTCCGAAAGAATCAATTTTTACAGATCTCAATTGCTTAAAAATTGTCCGTCATATTTTTGTTTTGATGTTGAATATTGTCTGTCATTTGTTTGTTTTGTTGAGATTGATTTATTTTTTATATCCAAGGTATCTTAATATATCATTATAAATATTCATTTTCAAAATAAAGTTAACACCAGGTATATTAGGCTGTTTTAATAACCCGAATGATTAATTCAAAGCCTTGAGCAAAGAAAATACTGGTAAGCGCCTACGTGGCAGGCGGGGAAAAGACCGGAGCGTGAGGACGAGAAGTACAGAAATGTTTAAAATGCAATCTTTACCTTCAATACTGTAGTTGTAAGTGGTCACCGAAAATTATTAAACTTTTGTTATTTTTGAAAATATAGAGTTCTCAGAAAATTGGCCTTGCGCCCTTTTTTTATAAGCGTACTTCGTAATATTCGAGAAACATTTTGAATATTGGTATTGTGGTGAGTTTTCGTTGGCATTTACAATGAAATAATTATATGAGTCGTCCTCGCCAACATTATTGTTTATTACAATAGAAGCTTTCGAGGGCTTAGCCATCATCATCAATATCATCATGCTGTATGGAAGCCATACAACGTTTGTTTAACTTCACTCAAATAGCCAAAGAAAAGTAAAATGCTGAATTAGTTGTAGACGAGGTTTACAGTTGTAGTTAAATGTTATTTCTTTAATGTAAAAAATAATAGCCAGTGTAGGGGGTAATTACGTTTACTGATAATGTAATAACGTAGTACAGATGTAGTACCTCAGGAATATAGAGGATCCAGAGCGAATAATGCTTTAAGCTTTAAGCAGCTCTTTCCGAAGCGGAGCGCTGCACGTGCCGGCCCATGACGCGTACGGCGGGCCAGAAGGCGCTGACGGTGCGCTGGATGGCGGACGGCGGCAGGTCGAAGCCCCAGTTGCCGCCGCGCGGCATCTCCACGGTGTACACGAGCGGCACGCGCCCCGCCGCCGCCACCCAGTCGTCGCTGCCCCCGGCCGCCGCGTCTGCGCCACCGCTCAATTGCGCTCCGCCACAGTCACAACGTAATAACAACATCATAGTAATAATGAGTTTAATATAGAGATTATCAGAAGGCTTCTGATTTAGTACCAAATGTCTGACTGAAAAAAGTGTTAAAAATACTCAAAATCTATCTCAAGTCCAGAGACTTCTGTGCGTCCCTAACAACCGTGTGCGAAACAGAAATAATACGAATTGTCTTATCGAAAATAAAACTAATGTTAGCCGTGGTCTCGCCCACAAAGACTCTTAGAACGCACTTTGGGTTTGTTTCGCACTGAACCCGCTGACCTTCATGCTCAGCAGCAGCGGAGCAGGCCCTTAGCTTCACTTGCAACGTCTGGGCCGTGACTGGGTGCGCCCCCTCTTGTTTTGGCAATTTGCTTCCTTGCAAGACAAGTCTGGCTATCGCGTCGAGGCAGCAGAGGAGGTGGGGAACGTCAGGTGATTAGCTGCAGCAACTCTCCTGTTCCTGTTTCTCCCACTCAGGAGCTTAGGCGGAGAGGTTCGCGGCTCGCGCTGGCGCAGCGCAGCGCATCCTTATGCGATTCCGCAGGCTTAACAAGCGAAACTGGGCTGCTGAAGAAGTGGAGGAAAGCTGTGACGCATTTATCGACTTATTAACAGCAACGTAACAATAATTATTATTTAATGAAAGTCTACTCAAAGAGAAATCAGTAACACATCTTGTGAAAAATAACCGCCAAGCTTTTCATTATTTATAAAAATAATATTTTATTATTATGGAATTTGCAAATTAAGCAAATATGATAATTTTAATAAGACTAATAAAAATGTTAATAAAAAATAAAGAGTAAATTAAAAACTATTGAAAATATTTAATAAAATATTATTCCTTTAAAATTAAAATAAACTGACCATAGAGTAAATACTCTAAGTGGCTACTATTTGCCCAGAGTGAAGCGTTTACTCTTTTTCTGTGTAGTGACTGCAAAATGTTTCCTAATAGACTTTGACTTTTTATACCTATCAGTATTTGCGCAGGCAGTGAGCGCGACACGAAATGTGCATTGGTAATTGCACTATCTCTTTCATCCAACTGAAATTAGCTACACATTGTCCCAAACCGAAATCTGAGGGCACGCGGCCGGGGTTCGCTAAAAAGTGAAAGTGAGGTATTTCACGCGTTGCCAAATTGCCAAAACATGAGAGGTTACCAAACATGGGTTACAAGATAAAATAAAGACTCGGTATGTGGCTATGGGATAAGAGTCAGCATTGTTCATACAAATTTTCCCATCTGCCATTTATGGATGATATCAGGCAGTACGCATCAACAGCTAGTTCATTGAAGCAGCTCCTGAACCTTGCCAAAACTTTCTCCGAAGACATCGGAATGTGTTTTGGTATTGAGAAGTGTAGAACAGTAAACATAGTGCGTAGATAACTAAGGAGAGAACTAGTTTACGAGATGAAAAGCAGCAAACTTTATAAATCATTAGAATACAATCGACTCTATATAGATTTTCGAATAGAACAATCTCAAATAGTAGCTCAATGGGTTGTAAAGAAACGATTAGCTGAAGTATTCAAGAACAGCCTGAAAAATGTACTTAAAATGTCAATGATTTCGGGACTAATAATCTTAGGAATGGACGCGCCTGGTATCACTAAAACAAATAAAACAAGAAGAATGTCACGTATTGGGGATTGGAATTTCTAATTTTGAACACAAAATCTCTGGAAACTTTGCGTAAAGTATCAAATTAATATATTCTCATTAAACTGAGACAGGCGACATAAGGCTCTGCCCGAATATATTTGGGACCAATCTACACTTAGTAACACGAGAAAAATAATGTTCGTTGTGCATTTACTAACATATAATTTAAATTATTAATTTTTTGCATTTGCATTTGTGTTGTGTTTTTTTTACCAAACTTCGCAAGGTCACGTCGACAATTTTGAAGAAGCGCCCATAAAAATTTCGCCTCTAGCCATTCACTAATTTTTGTGGTGTTGATGTAGGTTACATGCCATAGAATTAACTTTTATTAGTATAGACGTGTGGGGCTCGTGGCTGTCTTTTGGACAGCGTTCTCGCTTTCCGCTACTCGCCTCCAGGTTCGATACCCGGTTGAGCCAAGACTATAGTGTGCGTTTTCCTTGCAGTGTTCCAATATATGTAGCCGTGTGATGATGAAAATATTCACTACTCTGGTTGAGAAGACCGGAATGTGGCGTGTGGATGTCTGCGTGCTAACCGCATGTAGAGGTTCGAGTGCTGGCGAAAGATTGTACTGGGTGAAAAGCAGTATGCCCTCATTAGAAGAAGTTTGTACGGATGTTTTAGAAGATAACAGGGAATAATACCTACTACTAGAGCCTTTGCACAGCAGTGAATGCGAAAAGTAGATGAGTTCAGATGCCGACGAAATGTCTGATAACACAAGTAGAAACGTTGTAAACAAACGCAGCAGTAGTTGGAATCGATTAGTGTCACCGGTGAAGATGTGCACTCTTCACAAAACGCTGTTTTTCATACTTCGCTTCCTAAACACCGGCTTTGATGGTATAGTAGGATCATACCGGGCTACTGATACAAGTTCAAGCGTTCAAACCCTGTATAATATATAGTATACTTTATATTCGTATACTTTATATTCGTATTAAAATAAAATCAGAATTCTATTACAAAACCGGTCCAGCTATTAATTACAAACATTAATCGTTAACAATTTACCTTAATGAATTATAACAATTGTTGAGGTTAAATTATTACCATATTCTCTTAGGTAACTACTTGCTATTGGTATTGTGTTGAGTTTTCGTTGGCATTTACAATGAAATAATTATGAGTATATTTACTTGTTATACTGGAAAGTATTAGTTTTAACACCACTAGTTTTATTTCTTTTCGACCACTCTTCCACGTACGTGTATCTTCGCGTCCCTGGCGTTCGAAAGTCGTCGGCATTTTGTATACTCACAGAAGACGCGTGCGGTCTGGCCGACAGTGAAGTCGTGACCTCCAGCTCGCTTCTGCGCGAGGTTCGCCTCCTGCGCCAAGGCTTTCTGCAAAAGGTGCGTTCAGTCATCAGTTCTGCACAAAACGCCATGGTGCAAATATGCAAAGTGCCTAATTGTGTGAAATAACTGCAAATGAGGTCGCTAACCTTATGTGGAATATGCATAGAGAATATACAACAAAAACAATGTAACATATGCATATGTTTAATTTATTTTGAGTAAAGTTGAATAAGATTAATGTTACAAACTTGTAGGGAATTTAAGGGCGATGAAAACTCGTATATCGAAGTTTCACAGATGGAATATTGCTCCCGACGAAAGGCAACTTATCCTGCACTAGTGTTTGGCAGAAATGTCTAGAACGGGTTCTCAACGAGGTCGGTATCGACAGGCGGAGGTCGATAACATTTAAAAAAGGTCGATAGTCAAACATACCCACAACTGATTGGTATAATAAACATCCCATTGATTTCAAAAATATTTATGAATTTTATTATTGTTTTGCCTTATATAAATCTACAAAACGCGTAATAATAAATTACAAATCTTTTGGAATTTCACGTTATTTTAATTAATAAAATAAAAATTTTGCGCAGTTATAGTATGTGATTCTGTATTTGAAAACTTGTTTATATTTGTAATTACAAAAATAATAATTGTTATATACAGAAAAATATCAACAAGTAAAGCAACAACAAACGTTTATTATTCACTTTTTACAAGCCAAACTTCCAATCGTACCAATGCAATGCCCATAGTCGTGTCTACGAGAAGACGTCTAACAAACCAAACAGTCGTCGCCGCAAGAGATTTAAAAGTGCAACCCAAAGCAACCAACCACCAATTAGAACCAACAACGTAATCGGTCGCATGCACAATCACAATAATGGACACTTATGACCCGAAGTCTCTCTCAATACAACTCGCATACTGCTCCGTCGCCTGTGGCCCCTTTGCCAGTGCTAGGCGACGTCACCAACAGACACTCGCTCCTGCCTCCGGCTGCTTTTGCCGTCGTTGAAGTCTACGGCATGCGTGTGGCCTGGCTGCAAGCGCACTATATAGAACCATAATCATAAAATAAAAATAAAAAAGGAAACTTATTCCAAACCTTGTTTTATATTAGTCAATTATGATCAGTTATTTGTAATATGATAATTTTCTGAACTGCATATTAGAGAAGATATTTGAGGGGGTCGATGAATAAATTATCGAAGTAAGAAAAAGAGGGGGCACCCCTGCTCTAAAACGTGTCAATGACCAACACTAGTACAGGAAATTACTAACAAATGAAGATCAAACGACACGTGAGGTTATATTAGATTCCCGATACAAATTGATTGCCAAAATGTTAACATCTTTTACGTCATTCACGTCCTTGGCTTTTCCAACAACGCCTTCCTCTCCCCATTTACATTAAACTCTCACAAACGCTCTATTTCAAAGAGTCATCGAGAACGAAGCAAGTAGAAAAAATTTTCCTTGAATATACAAAAACTCCCACTTATACATGTTAAAACTAGTGGTACTAACTTATTTTTGTGAATTTTCATAGAGTTCAACAAAAATGAGATCTGCACCATTTTCTCACCCTTATCCGTGAACAAAAATTCGTGGAAAAACTTAAAAGAAAAATGTAGAGCTGTTTTTGAAAAAATAGGTATTTAAAAATTGCTTATATTTCACCCAAAAGTTGGAGAAAATTACTCATAATTTTAAAAGATTATGCGTAACTTTATTTAAAGACCTTTTTTAAACCTTTCTTTCTGTCTGTCTGTCTTTCTGTCTGTCTTTCTGTCTGTCTTTCTGTCTGTCTTTCT